AGTTTATGGACATTATTATTTATAATTTATAACAGTTTACTTAAATTTCCCTACAATAGTTTAATAACTAAGTATTCAATATTTTATCAAGAAAAATAACGCATTATCTGCTAGCGGAACGAATAGATATGTTACTAGTGATATTATTTTGTGAGGAAAATTGCTCAAGGGTTTATGCTCAAAGATATCCAAATAGGAATATTCCCGATAAGCGTTTCTTTGAAAAACTTCTTGTCGTATTTCGCAGAGCTGGTAGTGTGCTTTATAAAAAAACTTATTAGATTAGGCAGAAACCTGTCGTTGGAAGTGAATAAAATGAATTTGCCATAATTGGCTATTTTATAGAAAATCCATATATCTACAAGTCATCGTAAAATAATTCAAAGAACTACTTCTTGGCTTTTCTTGATAGAATAATATACAAATATTTATTAAATATTATTTATTAAACTACTGTAGGTAAATTAAATAAAAGTAAACTGACATAAATTTAAATAAGTCCATAAACTAATTCCGATTTTGAAAATAGCTACTAACTGTCACTAGAAACCTGCCTGACTTGATGACAACACTAGCCATCTGATCTGTACAATTTTATTGAAAAATCCATTTTTATTCAAAATCTGAGCCAGATAGGTATAGGAAACCCTAATATAGTTTGAAAGAGCATTTAAATCTGCTTCGACTTATTTAAAAAAAATGCATAGTGCTGCATTTGAAATAACGAAGTTTTTATGTAAAGTAAATATTTAAAATAGACCAGCAATTTTTGATACCCCTGTATACATTTAAGGAAGGAATAACATTTTTCTGTAAAGTTTATTTCTCTACCTTTAAACTCAGCACAAGAACTCATTCTGAAAATTAATGTACAGGGTGTTAAAGTCTATTTTATTGTAGCATGCAAATTTAAATATCTTTAAATATCTCAAAAACGATTTTAAACATATTTAACCCTTATAATAAATACCTTTTTTTGGGCCCAAGAATGAAAGTACCAGGTGTTCCATAAGAAAAAATATAACTTTGGTATGGATCTTAGTTCTGATACACCCTGTACATTTCAAAATAATTTTAAATTGTGCACATTACCTCCCCACATATACCCATAAAATATTTTGTTTATACATCTTTCCGTTTTCGTATAATCAACCGAGGCGAATGAGGTGCGCCACCCTGTATATGTAGTATACCATACTAGTACGAAAACTTCAAAGTATTTAAATGGATTTTATCACTCATGAAAAAAAATGCAAAAAATCTTTTTCATCGTAACATGCAGTTAATTTGAAATACCACCAAAATAGCAGCAGATATGTTGTTTATATTAAAAAGGGAAATAAAACATTGTTAGTCTCCAATTATTTATTAAAAGAGAAAGTTAAGTAGAATTTTTACAGTAGAACTGGCGTCATATCCAGCACAATCCAGCACATGAGTACACTCATGATTCGCATGTAAAAAACGCACTAAAAAACGTAATAGCTTACTTTAAGTTTTTCTTATTACCATCAATTCTGAACTGTCCTAAAACTGTGATATGCATGCGCAGATGGAAATATGAAGAAATTATTTTGTTTGTGCATGCGCTACAGAGTTCTAGGACGGTTCAGAACGGTAACAAGAACCCCAACAAAGTTACAGTCTCTTGATTTTCTAGCTCTCTATTTAAATCAAATACTCGAACGTGTTTTGAGGAGGTAGGAATAATTCAGCCTGCATTAGTTAATAAATCACATACAGTATTCCGAATTACACTAATTTCCTCTAACAGTTGAAAATCACAAGACTGTGAATTTACAGTATTCTGCTATAGTCTTATTATTTGGTGCATTTCAGTTGATTTCAAAAAATTCCGACCTCAGCGCTTTATACGGCAGAAATCAGAAATTTTCGCTATATATTTCCCGTCGCCCCCTCCCGGTTACAGTTCATGTTGATCGCATTAAAATAATATTTAAATCCTGGCTTTATAATGATATTTAAGAATTTTGTTTTTTTGCTAGTGTAGTATATAAAATACTCACAGTTACGAGGTTTGTGTGATGTAACACTGTTTCGGATAGTAAAAAATAAGTGAAAAAGAATCCGAACTAGGCGTCGTGCTGTGTTGTGACAATTTCAAATGTTAATAAAATTGCAGAAAAAAATGTTAACGCGTAAAGGAGAGCGTAATTAGTGCGTTGTTGGGCGCAATAACATTCAATAACTCAACTTTCCCGAATATTCAACTCTCCCGAAACAACATTTTAAGCTTCATAATTTCTCGCACCGATTTGGTCAATAGCAAAATTGGATTCAAGCAGGTCGACGAAACAAGTGACTAAACAAAGTGCCCATTACATAAACAAAAAGTTAAATAGACATACTATGAGAGGATAAAATATAATTTGCAATATCAATGGTTACTTTTTTTAATCGACTAGTGATTAATTGTTTTATGAACATCTTCTAAAATTATAATTAGGTAAGTACCTTTAAAAAATATCGTTATAGCCGAAATAGCCCCAATTATAACCCACTAGCAAAACCGGTGTGTAAAACTATGCTCGCTACTGTAGTTGATCTCATCTAAAAATATTTTTTAGCTGGAATAATAAATTAAAATACAAGTTAAACCTTCTGAAGATATGAAAATATTTACTGTTTTAGTTTTTATTTTAGAGCTTTTACAAATTATACTTCCTAACACTTTTAGAATAATTATAATAAATTTTTCGTACACTCACTATTTAAACCCGTGTATTTGTAAGTACGAGTTGTTTACGGATATTCTCCGATGGTGGCAGCACCGGCGGAGAATGCATCAAGCCTATAGATAGTTATTCTTGATTCAAGAAAATATTTCTCTAACTCCGAAGCCCTTTTTCGATTTATCGTTGTCGATAAACAATTTAATACAAAATTTATTACTTTATATTAAAGTAATCAAATTTCCAAATCATCAAACCCGATACTGTTACTGACAAGGTCATAATATCGTAAAGTTACAAACAATAGGGCGACCAATTACCATAATCCCTGTTTGATGAGGATTTCGAGCCCGTGCATGGCCCTAAGGTAAATCCCGGTTCTAAGCCCTTCCTAATAGCGGGGCACAATGGTGACGAGACGTGACGTTAATCCCCAATCATAATATTTCGCTTAGTCGGTTATTAGTGAGGTTACGGGAAAATATATGGGAAAGCGCGAAAGTAAATATTTTGTTTTAGAAATGTCAACATAAATTAAAACTTATTGTTAAAAATAAAGGCATTACTATCGACTGTTTAATATTTTAGCATATAGAATTGTTATGGTAATTTTAGGTAAGTCCAGTTTTATTATTTTTTAAAAAAGTCATGTTTGTTGTTGATCGATGCTTATTTTTTTTGACTCGAAGACCCTTAGATGACATTTTTCATAAAATGACATAAATATATTGTCAAAAACTAATATTTACCTAATAGATAAAGATAAATATAAAAAGAGTAAAAGCTTTATTTAGACAATTATCCCAATTTATTTTTACAATGAATGTTTAATTCACATAATTTCTAGGGGACAAACAGAACAATTTTATCATTTCGACAAACTTGATGGAAATTTTTATCAGAATAAAAAAATCAATATTTAGATACCACATGTAACAAAATATTAGGTAAAATAGAGGTATATACAAGGGGTAAAATATGGGTATATAAAATTAGGTATATAGTAGCAAGTAGGTAAAATATAGGTATATAAAATTAGGTATATACAAGATAAAAAATGATCGAAAAAAATCTTCAACGATGGCCTTAAAATGAAGATCGTTATCATTGTAAATGTAAAATTATATGCTGAATGTCAGGGATCGTCGTTTCCAAGCCAACTGGACGCCATTTTATTTTTCGATCATGCGGTATATAGAAGAAGATATAAGAAAAAACTACTAAATTTAGTGAGGATTGTAGCCAATAATCACCACATAGGCTAATAAAACTATTTTTCAATTCGTCAAGCTTTCCATAAATTTATTCTTATCATCAGGGCAGTTAGATGAGTTAATTAACAAAACAACATCCTTTGCACATACATATAGTAGTTACTGTCTGATCGAGCTTGAAACAACAATGCAGCTATTTCTATTAATGTAATTTGTAAAAAAAATTGTATTTAGAATTATATGTATTTTGAATATTTTTATAAAGAATTATCTTTGTTATTTCAATGTCCAATGATGTTAGTTTGTAAGGCCGTATTCTGCAAATGATGTGTTGTTAATTAACTTATCAAAGTATCCTGATGATGAGAATAAATGTTTCTAAAGCTTGAAAAATTGAAAAGTAGTTTTATATTAGCCTATGTGGTGACTGCACCCTCACTAAATTTAGTAGTTTTTTTCTTAACTTAGTGTGTTTTGAAGAAGATATACATAGAACCATGTCCACTAATTAATTTAATTTAAGACTATGAAAGAACCCAAACGAGATTTTAAGTAGCTAAATAGATTAATTTATTAGCCATAGTTTTTTTTAACTTTTTGGTAATAATTAAATATTTTATTCAGTAATAATTATTAATGAAAGCTGTCCAACGAGTCAAGGTAGATTTTGACAGACATCCAAAAAATGACAGAAAATACCATTTACCTGTGAATTAAAATCACATTTTAGCCACCGCGCACCCTCATGGATCATCTCCATCCCAAAATTGTTCAAATTTGGCAATTTGGCATATACAGACCTTTAAGAAATCTATTTAGGACTTCGCTGTAAAATGAACAGGGGAGTCAAAATTGGACAGTTCAAAATTTACATGGGAATTCCTATGTTTCCAACGCCGATGCACCACCCGGTATATTTTTTCTGTGATAAATTTATTTACACTCATCATTAATTCAGACTTTATTCATCACCATATGGTTCATGGTCCTCTATTTTTTCTAATTATAGCTTTACGATATTACAAAAAATATACTTATAATGTATATTTATATTCTAAAAAGCTAAATTCTGAATTTCAAATTTTATTCTTACCTGGGTAGGGGTGAGATGAATGAGAGAAGCCAAATGCTCTCTTTCAGGGGCTGACAGATACTTTTGTTGCTTAAATCTCCTTTCCAATTCGTAAACCTGAAAATATCAATAAAATATACAAGGTGTTTGGTTTGGTTTGGCGAAAATAAATGCGAAAAACTTTTTAAGGGATGATATCTTGATAAAAAAGGATAGTTTTTATACAGGGTGAGTCTTATATAAATACAAATATTAGCAGGGCTGGTAGATCTCGATAAAAGAAACATATTTTCTCTTTAAACCGTTTTTTAAATAAGTCCAAAATAATCGAGTTCAAGTTTGAAAATTTTTAAAAAAGAATTTTGAAAACAACTGAATTTTTTCTGTATATTTGCATCACTTTTAGTCTCGTAACCATAGAGAAAAGCCATAGCCATGGTAATATCAGAGATTAAGAAATACCGTGGGAAAATTTGCGGTGAACAGGCAGTTCTAAAAAGTTTTCTAAAATATCCAGAAAAATGTAAAAGAAAAATGCATTATTTTCAACAATTTTTTTACCACCCCTAAAAATATTTGCAGTCGATCAAAATAATTGCACATAATTTCTCTTTATACGAAAGTGCTCCGTTTGTCCGTTATAGGGCATCAATCAAACATAAACCCGAACATTAATTAATTAATTTAAAAATTATTATTTTTTTAAGCTGTTTATGAAGCTTATTGTCAAATATAATTTGTTCTACTAACATAAAATTCCATATTTTTGCCAACTAGATTATTAGAGCATAGACAAATAATAGATTATATGCGCTTCCATAGCTTGATGTGACAAAAAACATTTTTTATAAGTCAGCTTTGGAAAAATAATTTTCTCCTCAAAAAGTATGCACAGTGGCGTTTTTTACAAGAGACAAAAAATGTAGTAAATACTGGAGGGACCATTTTACAAAAATAAAATAGGCCGTCGGTGAAGTCGGAAAATATTTATACTAAAATTTCTGTAAGGATGGGGGTAGTTTTGACCCTTCTCGTTCTTTTTCTTGATTTTTATAAAAGTCAAATATAAGAGCACTCAGGAAAACATAGACACCCAAAATCTCATTCAAATCGGAATAACAGTTCTTAAAATATCTGAAAAAATGTGTTTATTTTTAAGGCGCAACTAGACACCGACTTTTGGGGGGGCTCAAGCCCTGAAACTTCTAAGGTAATATTGGTTTGATGATAATACCAGTTTTAAAGAAACAGTGATTTTTTGTTCATGTCAAATTGAATGCTTTTAAAGGGAACCACCCTTTTCTATAGGAGATAGACGACAACTAATGTCGATCTCTGGAGTTCAATTTTTATCAAAAACATGATAGCGAAACCGCACATTGATATCTGTTACCGTTTCGGAGATACGGGGTGTTTTTCAAAAACGTGCATTTTCAACAAATCGGTCTAACTTTTTTGCTACGAAAAATTTTGAATTTTTATGAAAACATTTCCAAAGTACCTTTTTACGTAGAATTTAATGGTTTAAGTATAATTTTTTTAAATTTAATAATTTAAAAATTATCAAAAGAAAAATTTATTTTTTATTTGGGACACCCTGTATATTTTTGAAAAGAATTTAAAGTTACCGTTCCAAAAATATAGCACACTTAATATTTTGTTCTACTCCCCTTCGAAATAGAGAATTTTTAAAAGTTCGCCACTTTTAACTTGTAGGCCTTGGACCCATGATACAAAGAATACAAGGTATGATATTGCGCAGGTTGGTCACTACGTCACAGGTGATAAACGGCACCATTGGTCGACAAGCTCCGCGCGCCAATTTCAAATTGTCAAACAGATGACATAATAAATGTGAAAATAATTTTTCAAATGTCAAGTTCGATGATTTGACATAACTTTTGGGGTTATGTCCTAATTCTTCCCTATTTTAGGTCTTTTTTATTAGTGGCAATTGCGGAAAGTAATGTTTTCAATATTTAGATACCTTAAAAACGGGTAGTGATTAGTGATTGAGATTGAATAAGGAAATTAATAGTGTTCTACTCAGGGCCTATTTCCCATATGGTCGGGCCATAAGGCCCAAGCAAAAATTCGGGCCCTCTTTTCCAATAAAATTCAAAAATTCTCTTGTTAGTTTCGGTTAAAAAATAACAATAAACAATTATTTTTATTTTTATGTTTTTAATCATTTAAAAAAATAAATAAACATTATTATATTCAACAAAATAAATAATGAAAAAGAAACAATTAATTCTAATTTTAAAAAATAAATATTTTTTTTTAATAATAATAAATTTACATTTGAAATTATGAATATTTTACAACCTTTAACGGGCCCCCCAGACCACCGGGTCCAAGGCCCCGGCCTTATGGGCCTTATGGTAAAATAGGCCCTGGTTCTACTATTAAGACCCATACTCACTACGCGGTTCGGCAGTGCGGTTGTGCGGTTGTTCGGCGGAAAGTTGTTTTTTGGGCGAACAATCAAAAGAAATATCACGAACACGATGGACGAATTTCCAAACGAACTAACAAATCGCATCGCATTATATTCACTATGCGCGTATGGGTGCATAGATGCATCAAATGGCATCCCCTGTGAGTGCTACTAATATTTTTCTTTTTAAATACCTACTTAAATTTAAATGAAAAGTTACTAGTTTCGTAACTTTTCATTTAAATTTAAATTAATTAAATTACTTGAAAAAAAAATACATTTTCGTAGCCTGATTATTTTAGAAAAATGTTTGCCTCTTGTATTTTTTTTCGTAAAACTAAACCAGATTAGGAATTAAAAAATATGTATAAAAAATTACGTGTTGAGAGTAAAATTTAAAAAAAAACATCTTGTCGGCCACCGGCAAAGGCTCAATAAATCCTTCCTAATACAGCTTTGTTTGATATTCTTACGAATACAACATTTCATGATTAAGTTAATCAAAAAGTAATACACTGATTAAAAAGATAGACTTGAACTAAAGTCGTCATCGTTCTTGAAAAAAAAATAGTGGCAAGAGAATTTATCTTAGCGTAAAAGAAAATATGTTCCCTGAAGAAAAACTTTCTTTCGTTTTTCTTCCCTGAAGAAAAACTCAAGAAAACTTGTTCTCTTGAAAAATTCGAAAATTTCTCTTGAATCTATTTTCATTCAACCAAGTGCAAGTTACTTTGTTTTAAGATAATAACAAGAATACGCTAGGAAGTACTTCATTCAAGAAATATGGCCATTTTTCCAATAGCTAAATACTCTTTTGATGAAGAATAATAACGACACGCAAAGACGATGTATAAGGATGGTGTATATACAATCAGTCGGCAGTCCGATCAGTCGCATTGATATGTCGCACTTCATATTACGCACGGGTTTTGTTGCTTGGAATTTTCCACTTGGAATTTTGCATAATTTGCTTTTTAAACGCATATCATATAACAAATTAGTGATCGTTATTAACATGTATTTGTCATTTTTTATGGACAAATTTTGGGATATATGGATTCTTTAAAGGAGTTTCTGAAAAAATGGAAATTAGAGCATTTATTTGCTTTATTTGAAGGTAAGAGACATTTACCTAATGCGCCTGTTTAGATAATGCATGCCTGCCTATAGATAGAATAAGAATATAGGTATAGATTTTTTTATGCAAATAATTACAAAAATTTTAGAATTTCAAGTCGTATTAAAAAATTCAAAATGTGACCAAAGCTTATAATTTTAATAATTTGTTTGCTTTACTTTGATTAATCGTGATGCAACATTTTTTTGTAATTTGTAGAGTGATGAACCACCCCAAAAAATACCAAAGAGTGAAGAAGCAGAAATAACTACCTACTATCGAGGAAAATAATATCACTTTACTTACTACCAGACTAGGAAAACTTAAATTTATCAGAAAATAATATACCTCGTGATATGCCTGTATATGATGTATAAACTTCTCTTAGATCAAAATAAATTTTAGTTGAGTCAATGGTATTCGCTATTGGTTTAAGAAAAGTGTCTCTTTAATCAAGAAATGTCCCTTTTCAATCAAGAATTTTTGCATGAATCAAAGAGACTGTTGTTCTTGTAGCAAGAACTTCTTTGCATATTAATTTTGGGTCAAGAGTGAAATACTTTGGACAGATAGATTCTTCTATTCTCTAAAGTAATTTTTTAAAGCTTAAGAAAAGAGAGATAATGCTTTGGACAAAGAAACGTCGTCTTGGCCCTATTGAAAAGCGCCAATTATTTGGGTCAAAGTTATATTCATATCGACTGAGAGATCCTTTTTTTCAGTGTAATAATTAAAGAACGATTTTTTTCATAGGTTGTGCATTCATACATCCCTAGAAGGTTAGTTTAAAAATCTGATTAAGATATGTTTGTTAGAAGTATTTTTTATGAAAAAAAGTTTTATGTTTTATGGTTAAGTTTAATGAAAAAAATTACGAGGTAAAAACTATATAAATAATACAGCGTGAGTCTCGAAGTGAGTCTTAAATGAGTGCAAATATTTTCAGAACTTTTGGTAGATCTCAATAAAAGAAATATATTTTTCAAATAAAACCAAAATTACCCAGTTATTTTACTTTAAAAATTTTCAAAAAAATATTTTTTGCTTAAATTTTGAGAACCAGCGAATATTTTCTGTAATATTAATCTACTACGTAATATATACGAATTTAATCTACTACATATTATTAAGAAATTATGTTTTCTAACTAAAACTATAAAAAAGTTACCTATTTTTTCGAGAAGAAAAACTCATAATAAATAATCGTGTTTCTAGGGCAAAATATAGAACCCCTAAAAACATTTGCACTTGTATACGACTCAACCTGTATATGTAGGTTATCATTTTTTTTTATTCAGAGTCGTTAAATAGATATTTCTTCAAATTTGGTTAGCAAGAATAATAGGGGTAGAGACTTTTATAACTAGATTAAAAAAAATGAGAAACCGAATTTTCTTGTGTCCAACATTTCTGGCTACGCTGTATACTATATCTATATTTATCTAATAATTAACACCAAATCCTATACCTAGGTATAAAATTTAAATAAATTCAAATATATTTTTGAATTGGATACCTAGTATCTAATGCATTTTTGATAAATAACATAATGCTTTGCAGCTTTGCCACATTATAAGTAGATTTGGATACCCATTTAAATGATAAATTAATACAGAATTAAGACTAATTAAAATTAGTATTAATTAAACCAGTTATCATTATTCTTTTTTAGTATTTACTTTTTTTTATTATTTTGCTATATTTAATGAAGAAATATGAGTTCAACTTACGTTTTCATATCTTATTAGAGAATCGTTATGTGATGCCTGACAAACGAATTAACAAAAAAATAGTTCTCACTAAACACACCAAAACATTTAGTTTAGCTTTTTTCATTATTTTCTATCCAATTTAAAATGATAACCCGCGCAATTTACCCATACCGGTCATCACTTTCCGACGGACCACAGACTCATCCGTCCGCAGACATCCGCAAAACGCACCGTCATAAACGTATACGTTGCCTAGCAACGAAAGGGAACTCCGTATCCGCACATGCGATAAACAAGGACGGACAATGGGGGCATGGCCCACATTTCTCTCTTACCTGGGCTTGCGTGAACAGGACACGCCTCTTCCGGCGCTGCGCCAGCGGGAACTGCATCGGCTTGGCGTCCGGCACGCCCGCGCACGGGCCCAGGCCAGGCATGCCGGCCGCGTTCAGGCCGTGGCCCATGTTGGCGGCGGAGGCCGAAGTGCCCATCAGCCTGGAAACTGGAACAAAAAAATCGAAATCAGTGTTTGTATTGTTTCGAAGCGGTGGAGAAGAGGACAAGTTGGGTAAAATAGATTGTTTGAAGTGCTGGTTATGTTAGCTAATTGTTCTTAAGAATATATAAAATAATGAACAGAAGAATAATACGAAAGTTGTCTATTGTCTTTTATATATAGAGGAAGAAAAACCAGTAGATAATTTTGAAACACACTATCGTTTTTCTAAATATTCTCCGCAAAGAGAAATACATTTTTGCATCCTATGAAACCAATTCTGAAAGCAGTTATTCCACTCAATTGTTAGTACCTTGAAAATTGCGTTTCTGAAGACTGCATATTCTGGGGACTGGAACCTTTGACCACGCTGTTCATTCTTAATTTGTGGAAAAGTAAAAAAGTGAATGGACAATTCGATGTTATCTTGTTGGGAACTGGGAACCTGCATTGTCTTCGTAGGAAATCGTTCGTCGTCTTGAGGGTTGGTTTTTCAAAACTCAGCAATTATTTCCGGCAAACAAATAGATATCGACTAATCAGCAGTAACAGTTCCTTGATCTTATAGAGGAATTTTTGCTATACATTTGAGGCAATTTGAGACAAATATCGCCACCATTGTTTTGAACAACACTTCGAGAACGGATAACTTTCGTCGGTTTTCCGAATACCCAAACAACCGATTGACGTTTATTTTCTAGTTCGTTATAGTAAATCCAGGATTCATCGCTACTAACAATACTGTATATGCGGAGCAGACTTACTAAATAAAAGGTGGCACAGCAAACTACACACACAGAGTTACAATATTACGTCACAAACGACGTTTTTAATACATTTTATCACATTCGAATTAAATGGCAAAAATACCTGAGGCTTTACTTGTATGTCCATTGGCCGTAGACAAACAAACAGAAGTATGACCGTAATGCTGTGGAGATACTGCTATTTGTTTGTCATCGCCAGGTAAAGAGTTTTTTTGTACTACAAGTTCTCTATTTTTTTTTGAATAATACTACTTAAAATAATAACGGAATTACTACTGGGAACCATGTAGTTGGGAATTCGGACCATGGTAGCAAAAAAATAAAAAGAAATGTCACGCGTCTAATAGACAGTCAACAGTTTTTTTCAATTATTTCAGATATCATCAAAACTACATTTTTCACATGTAGGTGTAATTTTGTCATTATTTTTTATCCTTTTTTCAAGTCCACTAGTTTTTCGGTAAGTCTCCTGCAAAAAGCGTAGCACTTTTTCTTTGTTTGCCAAAATTCGAAAAAATTGTCAAAATGCATCTAGAAAGTCTGCTCCTCATATATTTTTGGAGTTTCCTGCCTTAAACCGGTATAGAGTCTTTTGACACCAATTGACTCTAATTGCTTTCTGTTTCTCCGTCGACAGATGCGGTATCTAACCAGAAATTATTTTTTACAAATAATTCTTCATGTCAAATTTTTGAACTGAGCTCTTTGAAATGCCCAACGATGCTTTAATTTAACGATATGTGACAGTCGATCTTCATCGATAAGCTTTCGTACAGCATCGACGTTTTTCTGGGTATTTGCCGTTGTTATTTGGATCGTCGCTAAGACTAATCCATCCCCGTTTAAATTATCCATACCAACGATAAATTGCCGACTGATGTTGTGTTTCATTGCCGAAAACAGAAACCAACTCAGCAAGGCATTCTGCATGGTTGAGACAACTGTCTTCGAAAATGGTAAATAGTGAATTATATAAATATATATAGTAAAATAGTGATTGCGCCAAAATTTCCTCGGCTTAATTCCATTTATGGACTGACATCAAAATTGAATAAGCCTTGAGTGAAGGATCTAAAACATTAAGGTTCTAAAATTTTGGCATTCAGTTACCTAAAGATGACAGTTAATTTCGACATTTGATATACAGGGTGGTCCGAACTGTATTCCGGAAACTTCGGCAGCATATTCTGGAGATAAAAATAAGTAAAAAAGTTCGTATAAATGTATGTCCTAAAATACTTTGTTTCGGAGATACAAGGTGTAGAAGTTTCATTTTTATTTCGATTTTTCTAAATAATTGCTGAAGTAACGTCAATATTTTGATAAAAATTGGTGTTTGGGAGTTTTGTGACACAAGAAATTTGATTTTGATGTCAAAATGACTCCTATTTGTAGTGGGCCCCACCTACATGCATTTTGACTGATTTGAAGAGTAATAACTTTTTGTCCGTACCTGTAAAAAACTACTGACTTAAAAATTTTACATATCCAAGACTTTTTACCTAAAAAATATCTCTTGGTAAAAATCGCTACGAGCAACCGTTCTCAAGATATTTAAAATGGAAATAGTCAATACATGTCATTATTGACAAAAAATAAGTACACGTTAAATAGAGTTATTTGACTGAAATAATAAATTTTTATTTTTTAAATTAATCGTAATTTTTCCTGTGAAAAAATGATGATTAAACAGTTTCTGTTGAACTTTTAGCAAAGAAAGATTTCAAATTTAAGATTTCAGTCTAATAATTATTTAGTCAACATGTTTAATTTGTCAATGATGACAGGTGCGCCCCTCTACAAGTAGGAGTCATATTGACATGAAAATCAAATTTCTCATGTCAAAAAACTCCCAGACGCCAATTTTCATCCAAATATTGACGTTACTTCTTAAATTATTTGGAAAAAATCGAAATAAAAATGAAACTTCTTGACCCTGTATCTCCGAAACTAAGCATTTTAGGACATACATTTATACGGACTACTTATTTTAATCTGCAAAATATGCTGCCGAAGTTTCCGGAATACAGTTCGAACCACCTTGTATATGTTGACAGGCGCCTATACTGTGTTTTTATAGACATGCAAAATATAAAAGACAACCCCAATAATGAAAAAAATATAGCCGCAAAAAAACCACCTTTCCTAAAGCTGGATATCATGTAGAAACGAATTTCCATTTAAGTTTTTGAAATAGATATTAATCTACAATAATTGAAATAGTTGAAAATCAAAATTGATAAATTTGATAGAACTTTTTATGAATATATCTAAGTCTCTTTTACTATAATAAACTTTTCAGATAAAGTCTGGAGAGATAATATGTTAATAGAAAAAACTCAAAAGCATTACTATGCGACTAATTATACTAACTATATTCTATTAATTACATTGTTAGTATCAAATTAATTCATTATACAATAATAGTTATTAATAAAATCTTGTTTAATTAGAAAAACTTTCTGTAGCTGCTTTTTACTTCTTTTTATAGGTATTTTTAATGTATAACGATCTACTCTAATTAAAGTTTAATTTAAAATCATTTATTACTGTATAATAATTACTAAAATTCTTTAATATATGGCAGATACCTATAGACCTAGGAAATAGCATAAAGCATAATTATTGCTCCATTATTAAACCAAGAAATAATTCTACAGGAGTTTCTTGTTTTATTGCCTGTTGATGTCTTTTGATATCATTAAACTATTTCTTTCCTAAACTAAACGTTCTCTAACCCAGTGTGAGTACATATTATCAAAGCAAAACCTTTGAAGGCGGGTAAAAGGACAAATAACTCACAATCTTTAAGTTGTTTAATTTAAATTTTAATGCTTCGAAAAAGCAAGGGGGGCGACATGTTTCGGGAATTTAAACTATTCCCATCATCAGGCCCAAAAGACAAAAATACAACCACTCGGAAGAAATAAAATTAGTTAGAGCTGTAAACATTTACACAACTCTCTCATTGTAATTACCAATTGTATAACTCTTCAAGAAGGAAGCCTTTCGTTGTAATGTTATTTTTTTTGTTATTTGGTATTAAGTTTGGTAACGCAAGTTTGTTTCATTTTAACACTAAAATTAAAAAAAGAAAAAGCTATAAATAATAAGAAGTTTCACTTCAAATATGCACACATAATGCGCACACAATTTTTTTTGATATTTATTTATTCGGAACACAAACAGGACAATTCCCAAAATTAGTGTCCACAGTTTACATATTAGTGTCGACAGTTTATATATTATTGGTCTATAATTACTAAAATTCTTTAATATATGGTAGATATCTATAGACCTAAGAAATAAAATATAATTTAAATATTTTAAAACAAAATCCTCCATTATTAAATCAAGAAATAATGCTACAAAAGTTTCTGGTTTTATTGCCTGTTGATGTCTTTTAAATTAATTATAGACTAATAATTGATTTATTCTATAAATAAATAAGCAATGATTTCAGGTAATATATGAAATTTAAATATTTTTATATACTTTACCTAGGCATTTCATGAAATACCTGGACGTTTTCCTATAGAATATCTAGATTATATTTAGGTATTCTATGAAAATCACTAGATTATTAGGAAAGATATGATATAAAAATATAAAAGATTAATTAAACTTTACCTTGAATTAAAAAGTTGTTTCGGTGAATAAAAAACAAAATATCACAAAAATGGAAATTGAAACCAAAGCAATCAAAGCTCATTTTAATATAATTAATTTCAAATCAAATCAAATCAAAATCATTTATTTAGACTGCACTTATAACAGAAAAATATTCCCATGACAACAGTACAATAAATACAAATTAAAAAATACAAAAATAAATATACAATAAAAAAGAAGAACTCTCAATAACATTAACAACGAGACTTAATAAAATAGTTGAAGATTATCTTTTTATTTTTATCACAGATAAAGTCAAAATCAGAGTGATCTAGGGCAAACTTATTCACCGCCTCTAGGCACCTGTTTAATGGTGAACTAATCAACGAGATCTTAAAAATTACATGCCTTTTTCTTAGTCTTCAATCAGGTACTACATAATAAATCATTCCAAGTAGGTCCGGCACAGGAACACATTGGTGAATAATACTAAATACAAACGACACATCACTGAACTGCCTCCTTTCCTTTAAGGGTGTTATGCTAAATTCTGCTAGTTGAGATTCGTATGATACAAGATTGCGAAAGCCGGGGTAGAACCCGTGTTTTTGCAGAAATAGGCTTCTC